GTTGGTGCTGAACGTGTTCTTGCTTCTTGACTTTGTTGATAGAACAATGAGGTTGATGGTGGTAAACAAATAATTTCATTTCCAGTGTTTAAACAAATAAATTGAACCACTTGTATTGGACATTCATGTTTTGACACGTATTCGGGTGATGGCTGATCATATGAGCCAACAAAATCACCCCATTTTACTCCAAGAACATGTCGATGAATACTGTCAAGAGGAAGAGTTTGTTCAAATATTGCTCGTTCACTCCGTTTTGGAACGGCTGATATTGTTCCATTTGAATAATTTGTAAGTGAAGTTGTCAATGATGATGGATGTTGTTGATGAAACAATTGTTTTGGTACCTGTCCATATGTTCGAATAATACTTTGATGAGCTATACGCGTTAATTCATCTCCCACAGTATCAACAGGATAGCCGTAATAACATGCAGCATGAAACACATTTATAGCATCTAATGCAGCTTTACCTTAGAAAAAATAACAACAGAATATTACGTTCAAGAATAGTCACATCAATTGTTGATAATATACCTGTTTGTTTAAAACCAAATACAAGATCGATCCAATGATGTAAATGTTGTATAACATAATCGGATTCAAGTGCTTGTCGTAAAATATTTACAAATAATCTAGAATCTTTTTTAGCCCACATTGGTACATTTACATCATTTACTTTCTGTCCATTTTGTTTTACACCAAAATTAAATTCTTGTTTATTAAATAAAAATTCGTGTAAAAAATAAAATTCTGGAATTAATTCTTTAAAATCTGACGTTGATTCATATGATGATAACCACCACGATGTTTTAATATCGTGAAATGTTCGATCGGGACAATCAAAATTTTGATCTTGATAATCTAAAAACATTCTTGTATATGGTAATAATCTTACTAGATAATGTAGAACAATTCCACTATTAGAATATAATGATGCAAAATGATAAGGATCAGATTGTGGACCAAATGTACGTTGTGAAAAAGTTGTTAATGTATCAACACTATTTAATAATGATAAATCATGTGCTTCTTTAAGTGCTTTATACATTTCAATAAATTTTTCTTCTTTTTCTTTATGTTGTATGGCAATTGGTTTTCCTAGATCTCGATAATTTTGTGTTAAATGTAAATCTAAAATATCTTTATCATAACTGCAAACAATGTACGGACAAATAGGATACTGCATCAAATCATTAAATGTTCGACCAGCTAATTTATTTAATGACATTATATAATCAAAATTTGTCATTAAACCTTGACGCCATAATAATTGAACATCAGTTAATGTTTCACCATGAATATAATTTACTAAATTTTTCTTCAATAATAATCTAAATAAAGAAGAAAACAAGAAGTTAAATATATTGTAAAAATATGTCGTATATATTTACTTGTATAAATGTTCTCGTTCTTGTTGATTTGTTTGTGCCAGTAACAATGTGATACCATTTGTTAAAAATAATTCTAAAGCAATATCTTTTAACATATATCGTCGTTTATATATTTCTCGTATTTGATCAAAACAAAATGAAAATGAATTAAAATCATCTGAAAAATAATTATAAAAATATGTTGTCTGATAGGGAATTGAACTACATTTTGTATTTCCTGTTGTTTGATCATCAGCAACAAAATAAATTCGTTGAATACCAATTAATAATTCGCCTTTAATTTCATTTGATGGTGTTACATTTATACATCGACATTGATATTCAATTTTTTCATTACGATATAAAATGGTTTGAATAGCCATTGATTGATGACCCGAAGAAGTATTAGAACCAATTGATGAATCGAATAGGTACCTAAACAATTCAAATAAATTGTATTTTTACAAATTATAATAAAATTGATTAATCTTACCATAATGGTGGTTTCATTAATTTCTCTTCTTTAATATGTGATTGAAAATATTTTTTATCCATTAGACAATAGGCACGTTGTAATCGTCGACGTTCACGATTTGGTGATTCTGTTGGATCTAATTCCCAAAATTGTGGATACAATTGTGGTTCATACCATATACTTAATTCATGTGTCAATTGACCACATAGATTATGCCATAAATGTTTTATACGTAATTCAAGTGATTGTGTTAATCGAATATGTTCAATAAATTTTTTTCGTTCATGACTTTGTAGATTAATGACATCTTGTGTAATTTCCATTGCTTTTGATGTGAATAAACGAGTTTTGTCTAGCTGAAGTTTATTGAAACGTTGATTATTAAAATTAAAACGTTTATGAATTATATTTAAATTGTTGTCAAAATCACGTAAATAGATTAAATGTTTGTCATTTAATATTGATGAAATTGTCACAACTGGTATTGATGAAGAACTGACAGTAGCAGATGATACACGCTGTGGAATAAGTAACGGCGTTTGTTCATCGAATGAGGGTAGAGCAAACGATTTAAGTCTCGTGATTTTCTTAGCTACAACAAAACAAAAAATAATGATCAGTTCCGTGATTACCATTTATTTTATACCAAAAGTAGAGAAAACTTAACAGTGTAGTATTCGGGAGACAACTAGAGACACATTGCTTGACTTTTTTATGTCGTATTTTTGCTAGGTTTTAGTCGTTTTGTGATTGGGAAAACCTGCTATTGAACATGATGGAAGATCGTTAAAACTCATTAAGACACAATCGACTGTACTCGAAATTGTCTTTTATCAATTTTTATTCTTTGAGGAAAAAAGAGACACGCGAATGGTCTGCTCCGTATTTTAAATCTCACTAAAAAACTACATGACATTTCCATGTGGTTTTTACCTTAGTATGTAGGAAAATGTTGAATCTGTCATCATGTTCAATAGCAAGTTTTTCTCAATCAAAAACAACTGAGAAGTCGCGAAAAAACGAGACAAATCCTAAACAGTGTCTTTTGTTACCTCAGAATACTCTAATAATAGTTGTCTAGTAGTCGAAAATTTTGTTGAGTAACTTTATTAAAATTAATTTCGTTTGGCGAGTTAGTTATTATTCCTCAATGGATGAATCATGACGGTTAGATGAGCCAACATATGATTGATGTAAACATTTACATATCAGAACCTTAGCAGTTATATTTTACAAGTTTCAGTTTTTTCCTCCATTTTACTCTAGTATTGAAAATAACCATTGAATAGTTGAAAAAGTTCAACTTGTCTAATTTTAAATTTAATTTTAATACAAGACATCCAACAATGTTACCAGCTGCTGTTAAACTATTCTCATTCGTATTCAACAGATTATCTATTAGAGAAAATAACTAGAAGAAAAGTCAGAGTGCATGAAAATGAAAGAATAGTGAGAGCACAACACTATTGAGTAATAGAATAAAATAATACTCACTTGTTTGTGATGGTAAATATATATCTTTAATTTGATTGTTAAGAAGATGATTCACAAATGTTGTTTGCTGTGTTGTTAATGTTTGTATCGTTACTGATCTCATAGCATCTCGAAATAAATCAAATAATTCTTGATGATATTGAATGAATGTTCGAGAATCTGTCGTAATTACAGAAGATTGTTGTTGAACGATTTCCGATGAAATTGAGGATGATAAAGACAATGAAGAATGTTTTTCTGGAATTTCTGTATCCTGATCTGTTGTTGGACTTGATATTGACCATGAATCACTTTCTACATCATTTTCGTCCTCTTCTTTATCGTAATTAATTTTTCGTTTTTTTCGATTTGGTTTTTTAGAACGAATTTGAGATAGATCAGTTTTTGTTGCTGATGGTGTACTGAATTTTTCATTTACAACATTCGATTTTGTTAACGTAGGAGGCCAAAGACCGGTTGATATTTGAGAAGAGAATGCTGTCCAATGTCCAGAATCAAGTGATTTAACACGTTTACGACAATACGCATCTTCTTCTAAATATAAAGAGATAATAGTTGTATAAATGATTTGTTAATGCAAGTTTTATATATCTTTCTTACCAAGTTCTTGTTCATCATCTACCTCTTCTTCTTGTTTCCAATTACATAATTGATTGAAGTAGATTAATATTCTTTCATAAAGTGATAAATCATTTAAAAATAAATAATCTAAAATACGTTTGGAATTTGGTTGATTTAAAAGATATTTAATTATTTCACAACGAAATTTGACACGTTGCCTTTCCGGATCTAATGTTAATATTAATAATTTTATACACTGTTGTTTAATTATATCTCGACAACGCAACATTAGTGTAGACCAGCAATGTTTTTTTGTTGATTTTTCACTATTAATATTATTATCTATTAATGAATGAGGTGTGGTTATTGATGATTTCTTTTCTAAATTGTATGCAATACCATTCAGACATAAATGAAATAATTTTAGTGTAAACTGTTCTAATGAATCGGTGATGGCTAGATGATCAGAATAAATCATTTCAATACAATCAACCGATAACTGTAAATATTTACGAAAACGGTCACCTAAAACAAAAAAATAGACAATTTTAGTGTTTTTTAACATCATAGTAATCTATTTTCATCGAATTTACCCAGATCAAATTGATCAAACAATGCTGTTGTTGTGGATGTTATATTATCACTGCTAAACATTGATTCATCATGGTAATTATTTAATACACGAAGTGGAACAAGATTATTGGTACTATTTTTTATAAAATCAAATGGTTTTATTTGAATATCGGACAAAGAACTTCTTGAATGTTGATTGAACGAACTATTTAAAAAATTGACTTCTACTGATGCTGTTGATGAACGACGTGTGGACGGCGCTGTGGAATGATATGACATTGTACGAAAATGATGATGTGATGAATGAGTTTTAGTTAATTGGCACATCATTTCTGTTAAATCAATTATTGTGCTTAAGATACTAAACAATGTCTGATGTAATACAATTAAATCAAAACGGTCTATAGACCAATCATTTGGATGACCAATATCTTAAACACATATATGCTGTTAAATTTTTAAACAACTGCTCTTCATTTTTGAGATAGAAATAGATGAAATATTTAGATGAAAAATTATCTATAAAATGATTTATGTGTTCTATAGATCTTCTAACGGATGGCCCAGATTAAACTGACTTTTTTTTGTTCTCTGTTTTTGAGACAGTAAAATTCGTTTTAAAACTCGGTTTTGACCTCATTCGATAGAGAATTTATTGCTGTACAAAACTGTCGACTTTGTGTTTCAAATTAAATTTTCTTGTCGGCACAAAATTTAAAAAAGATTAGCATCTACTCAATCGTCCAACTGCGACGGCCAGAAAATAATGAAAACTTTTTAATAACGGTTTCGCTTAAATTTCAAATATGCTGCAAAGTTCTCCGTAAAATTCTGCATCTTTTGATGTATATTTTACAATTTTCGAAGAAATATTTGTGAGAAAAATGTTTGATGTAAAAAATGTCAAAACACCAAAAAAATTCCTGTTCTGAGAGACCTAAGCCATTGTTCTTTTTTAATTTGAAATAACCTAAACGTTTTTAATGTTCAACTTATCAGTCACGCTATTTTGTTCAGATTTAAATTTTACGTACGACGGCTTGAGAATAAACGTTTCATAGACCAAGTCTGGCTTTGAAAAACAAGATTTTCCAAAATGCATCCCAAGAATACCACCACCAGGTCTTAGTTCCAAGCCTATTTCTCCTGAACGATAGCACCAGGAACCTTGAAAAGGTTGTGGAAGCAAAGAGCACAAAATTCTCTATCTATTGATCTTAAAAACTATACTTTTAGCATCGAACTTGATGATCACAGGCTTACACAAATCGATAGATGTCTGCAGAAAAGAGGAGATTGCTGTTTACGCCGGTCAGAAAAATTATTTGAAAAACAAAGTCAATAGTTTTGTAGAGCAATGAATTCTCTGTCGAATGAGCTCGACAGAGACGACGAAAACGATATTTAGTGCCTCAAAAACAGAAAACAAAAGTAATCAGTTTAATCTGCGCCGCTCGTTATTATTATGAAATGAATGAAAGTATATACCTTGACGAGTATTGAATTGTTCTTGAATCATTTTCATTAATTTGTGCAATATATTCATAAATGTTACTGATGTTTTATTAACAGTTGCATAAAGACAGGCTACCAATGTATTAAAACATATTTGAATACTTGTGATAATATTTTCATATGACTCAAACATATCATGTTTATTCTCTTTTATTTGTTGTATACATGAACATAGTGTATTAAATAGAACTTCACAGAGACCAATATCAATTAAATATTGACGATAAAATTCATTAGATCGTTCAATTATTTGATTTAATAAATATAATACGATTTGACATATATATATACCCGATTCAGATAATGTTAATTTTTCAATTAACGATAGTAGTAATGCCAGGCCAATTTGACTTATCGGACATATAGAAGGTTTAGATGATGACGTTGATAAAAATGAAAAGAAATCATCATGATCAGATATTTGATCGACTATGCTAAAATTAAATCAACAGTTACAAATTAAAATTATTACTTTCTAATAAAAATTGAATAACATAAAAAAAGGTAGTGATATTCTTATTTACTTTTGTGATAGATTCAATATGATTGGTCGTTGAAAGACAATGGTCAGACATGTTTCAACTAAATGTTGTTGATCTGTTGCTGTTTGATCATCATTCATTTCATATTGATATAATTGATTGGCCATCATATAGATAAGATCAGATTCAATTAAATCTTCTCGTATTTTATTTGACTGTAATCGTTTCAAATATGCATCTAATAATTTTAAACATTGTATTCGTTTCAAAACATTTGAATCTAGTACAAGAACGATTAAAACATTGGTACGAAATACATTATCAATTAATTTAGCCATTAAACGATCAGGAACTGTTACAACAATTGTTGTTAATAGTTTTAAAAGTCCAGTTGATAGTAATCCAACACTGTGAGTAACACAATCAATTTGATGACTACTCGGTCTCTTTTTATCCGGCATATTTGGTGATGTTATTTGAGAAAATGCAGGAGCAGTCACTATTGTTGAACGATGTTGACGTTTTTGATATTGTTCTACTTCGAGAGATGAACTGAATAAATCAGAAAATGAACGAAATTTTCGAACTGGACTAACATTCAATGTTAATGATTGATTGTGAAGATTTTTAGAATCTTTTTCAATAATTGATGGACGAATAATAGAATCTTTTCTTGGGTGTTGATGAACGTCAGATATATCATTAGTTGATGTTGAATGAACAACAATCGTTGCACATCGATGACGAACGGCATTAGTATCAATTCTAAGAAAAAAAGTGTGATAAAAATACAACATTTTAAAGAAATTGATACATAATTCCAATGTATTAGAATTATAAAGTTACACTATTCTTTGCCAATGGGAGAGAGAGTGAGAGAGCTTACATGTTAGTATCATTAGTTGAAGCTGCCTGTATGTCACCAGCACTATTTCTTCTAGACATTGTTACCTCACTTCCGATTAATGTTTTGTGTGGTTGTTGTTTCTGTTTTGGATAATGTTGCACAAAGTAGAAATATTCTTTATTATAGGTCACATATGTTTTAACGAGAGGATGTATTAATAAAACAAAATTCATTATGGCTGCAATATAATTGAGATCAAATTCTAATAAATATTCAATTATATTCACAATAATTGATGCCATATGATCAGTCAATATTAAACCACTAATTTTTTGATGACTATTATTTGTATCTTCAATTATTTCTTGACAAAGAATTAATAAATGTTCTAAAATAGACAAATTGAAAAATTTAATATAGCAAAAAAGGTATCAAATCAAAATAATTAATGATACATAAATCGATATATATAACCTATATGATCAGAAGGCTATATTAATCTAATAAATTTATCTCATTATTTTAATCTATAAAAATTTCTTACCGAGTGCAAAATGTTTTTTAAATAATTGTCTATTTGATAAATAATATGGACAATGTTGATCATTTAATAATAATTCACATGTTTCTAATATTTTATGATAGAGATGTGGTGATTGTTTCCATATTTTCCATTCCAATAGTATTTTCATAAACAAATGAATATCATAAATATGTCCATTCATTATTGATGATGAATATTTAATTTTATTTAAACTATGTTCAAGTAATATTTTATAAAATTTTGCCGTTATTTTTGTACACGTTTGTTGTGATGATAAAACTTTAACAATAAGATTATATCCGTTAAGTGAATGAAATAAATCATAATATGTTTTCATTTTCCATATACACGTAAATAATATGTCTGTTACATGTAAAAGATAAAAATCTGTTTGTTCATAAAGAGTTAATTCAATTATTTTTGCATATAAATAGACAAAATTTAAAACACCACCAATACGTTCACAAACATTTAAAAGTGTTGTTGAATATTCAACAATTATTTTTGATGGTAATGATATTGTATGAGCATACGAACTTAGATCAGGATTACTAACAGAAGTAGATGATGTGGATGGTTGAGAAGAAATTGTCGATGATGTTGGTGATGGAAGAGTACTTGAACGAGAAAATACTTTAGAGAGAATACTTTGTGGAACATTTGATACTGAAGTGGAATTAACACCGTCATTTGAGTCACTAAAACTAAGTAAAAAATAAAGAATATAATCCAATGTGTAACACATCATTTATCATAATATTTTAAAATCATTTTTATTAGACTTTTAATATACCTGAATGTGAATAATGTCCATGGATAACTTGGTGTGTATGAAGCAAATAATGAACGTTTAAGGATCGAACGCCAATAACTTTGTTCTTGATCAAATTTATCAATTGGAATGTTTAAATGTAACAATGAAAATCGACGATAAACCCAATAATCTCCTGTTGTTGACGTTGTAGTTTGTTGAGTATCTAAAAAATGCCATTGATCCGAACCAAGACTATAGAGAAATGATGGAATATATTCATTATTAAATAGTTCTTTATCGAATAATAACAAAGTTCCTAAATCATAATAATAGGATGTATACTGATCGAGTGAACGTTGACCAATCGATAATAACCAATTTGATTTTGTTGATGAAAAAGATGAAGAACGAATTATAGATGCCGAACAATCATAACAGGATTGAGATAGTCCATTTAAATATACGCGAATATTACATTTTTTAGATGAAGAATCAGATAGAGACAATATAAATAGCATATGACACCAGGATGATGATGGTAAACAGCATAAACGAATATAATTCGATGATACACTAGCACTACCGATTGAAGCTGCAAAAAAAAAGAAAGAAGAATATGTGTGATAATATACACAACAGGGAAACTTTGTTATTCGTTATTTAATGCATTGTACATACTCGTTTGTTTTTTATTTTGTTCTTGCTGTCGTACTATGTATAAACGAATACTTGGTATTGAATCTAACCAAAATTGAAATTGATACTGTTCATTATGTAAAGTTAAAACATGTAAAAGCAACTGATCATTGTTCTTTTCTGTAACACCATCGATATTTTGATTCTGAGAAGTTGGTTGTTTTAATGAATTATCAAACTGATCGTGTTGATTTTCATGACCATTATGTTTCTGTTGTTGTTGATTAAATTGTTGTATGAATGGAAAATTGACTTTTAACCATAAACTAAGTGTTAATGGAAATTGAATTTGTGTTGATTTTAATGGTTCAGTTATCATAGCCGATTCCCGAGAATTTAGAACAACGTTTGTTGATTGATGTGGTTCAGTGAGTAATGCGGTTAAAGTATTGACTGTCAAACAAAATGCACTACCAGAAGCAATACCTAATGAGAAAAGTAGAATTTTATGTTGCCTTTTAATATGATCGTATCTTTTACTTTTGCATACCTATGCCTGATGTCAGTGGTTGAGGACTATATGCTCGTGGTTGATTCGGATCTGCATAGGTAATTAAATATTTGAATAACTTTAATATTGGTTGTATGAGAGAACGATGCGTCAGAAATAACTTAAAACATTGTTCTAATTGATTGACATTGATAGAATTTGACCAGATATTCTGTAAAATGGTAATAATCAATTGAATTAATAAATCTTTCGATTGAAATGTATGACGACGACCAACGGTTAATAATATATGAAATAAATATTCGTCAAAATGCAATTTTTTCAATAATATTTGGTTGTATTTGGTTGTTTTTGTTAAATAACTAAGTTTTTCTAAATAATTAATAAGTATAGTCACTGAGCTTAACATAGTCGTTGATGATGATAGTCGAGATAATTGTAGAACTAATGGAGAATAATTCTCAGCCTATAAATGATGAAAAGATGAAAATAGTGATCAAAACAATAAAACAAACAGAAACAGTGAAAGAAACAAACTAAAATTACGCTTAATAGCCTGTCTAAACATCGTTTAAATGAGTAAAGATAGATAATTTTCAGTTAAATTTGATATAAACACCTTATCAACTACACTAGAAATCTCAGTACCTTTGATATGTTTCCATTTCGTTGCTGTCGTTCATCTATTTCATTCCATTCATATTCCATATTTTCCCAAGCTAATTTTAAACAAATCATTAACAATTCTGGAAATACGATTAAATTTGAGTATATATATTTTTTTTGTCTGCCAGCTATTTTTGATTGTTCATCACTTAACGAGTCAATGTCTCCATTATATATTTCATCAGTCTCTTCATCTTCTTCTACATCATCATCTCCATCACTTCCATTACTATCGTCTTGTTTTTGTTCAAATTGTGTGAAAATTTTAGTTGTTCTTGGTGTTTTCCATGTTTGAATATAAGTATAACGTTGTGATAACGTAAGACGTAATAAAAATTCTAGCCATATCCAAAGTCGAATATCATGTTGCTGTCTTATTTTGTAGAGATAATCGATAATCATCTCATATGTGAAATCTGGTTGTTGTGAATAAGATGATGATACAAGAACAAGTGCTAATAACGTTGAGAAAGTATGATCAAGAGAATGTTCACCTTGAATAATTCTTAAAAAATATTCATGAACTTTAGTGTAACAGACATGGTCAAAATAGGCGTGACGAAATGATGGACATTTGATAAGAAGAATAAGAATAATTTGAAATATATTTTGTTCTTGAGATGATAAATCATTACAACATAGTCTTAAAGTACATCTCAATACCAGATCAATTAATGGTCCTAAATATTCGATTGTTGATGATGTAAGATTGAGAATGTAACCAATAACAGGTAGTGTATAAGAAAGTAATGAACTTGAGGCATTCAATGTTGATAATGATATCAAAATATCTAATAATGACGAATTAGTAGAAATTGTTGATTGTTTAATATTTATTGAAGGTGGTAAACCTTAAGAGCAAAAAAAATAAAACTACAAATTTTGTTTCATCAGAATATGGATATATATACATAAGAGAGATTTATTTTTCCTCGAAATTAAAACATAACGAGAATGGCAACTTGACTACTTAGGCCAAGGAGGAAACATCTGATTTTTGAGCTTAAAAAATCGTTGTACAAATAAAGCAGATTCTGCACTATTTATCGTAGTCTCTTTATTTGATTTCCCAAACAAATCACAGGAAATCGGAAAAAAATCGATGAAAATCGACGAAAATGGGAAAAATCCCCAAATCAGCTGTAGATCCTGACCGCCGAAATTTCATCAGAGTGTTAATCTCCACTTACTTGAACAATTGCTTGATGGAGATACAGAGTTAATCGATGATGGACTATTGCTTATAGGAGATGGGACATTTGAAATAGAATTTGAAGATGATTGTAAGATATGCAATGGATCTAATACATCTGAAATACAATCTATCAGGGTAGGTAACGTTAAAAGAATATTTTGAACAATAATTTCCGTATTTTCATTAGCATGTGTTGTTGAATAAACTAATCGATAATGATCTAATGTTGGTAGTACACAAACAAATAAAATTGTTTGTTTTTCCGTTTCTGAACAACATTGAACTAGATCATACAACCAATGAGAAAATTCTAATGAAAATTGTGTCGATGAATCTTGTTGTAATAAATGAGATGAAACATAAGTCCAAAATGTATTGTTCGTGTAAATATTTTCAAATGACTGCTTATTGGTTTGAAAAGACATTGATAATGATAAAGACGATGAGACGTTGCATGTACGAATTAATAAAAAAGCATTACGTAAAAGAGAAATGGTTTGACGTTGAAGGCATGAATAATCTATAAAATGATTTACATTGGATAATAATGAACGATAATGAGATAAAGAATAGCATGAACACGAACCACAGGACAATAAGATGTTCAAACAATCCTAAAAAGACGTTTGAACGTTAAGAGATGGAAACAAGTAGCGGTGTTTTTGTACCTGTATGTATGCAATTGATGGTTGTTTTTGTTTAAATTGTTTAACTATTAATCTCAGCAATTTATCATAGAGTGCTGATATTATACAAATTCGTTTTGTTGTTGTTGTTCCATTATTTGTTGCTATTGTTATGATTATTTCAAATTGACTCTGATGTAGATGAATATATTTACACTGTTTATCTGTTTTCAATTTTATATTTCTATTCTTACAACGCTGCTTATCATAGACATACATTCGACACCATTTTAATCGTTTTAATATTTGATGTAAATATTCAAGAATTTGTTTAGAACGAGTTTCACATTGTTTTTGAACAGAATCAAATAATAAAAAATAATCACTTGTAATTAATTCACTAATCAATGATAACATTTCACGTACACACGAATATTTTGTCTCTTTTTTACTCATTTTTTTCATTTTTTTGTCAAATATATGGGACAGAATATCATCAATCAAAATCAGAAAACCTAAAAATATATGGAATTATAGTAACTTAGAAAGTAAATTCAGAAAGAAAGAAATAATCACCTTGCAATATGTCAAAGGTTAAATGAACTGATGAATGAGACATTGCCAAAGATGACGATATTAATCGTTTGCTAAGATCGTTTATAATTATGGATATTGGCAATGGTTTTACTTGTGAGATAAAAACGGATGGAAATAATTTAAATGTTTTTCGAATGACTGATAATAATGCTCGAATTCTCATTTGATAAAACCAAAGTAGAACTGGTGATATTTGGACATTTTCTGACCATGTTTCATTTGCCAACACCGTTGATAATATCTGAATTATTTCAACGTGTGTACTACTATCGGATGAGTCTACGGTTGGTTCAGAATACATTTTAATTATTAAATAGAATATACATTCAACGACATTCAATACCGATCCTGTAACAAGGTTCAACGATGTTTCATTATTATCATTGTCTTGATAAAACGGAAAGTACTTTTCATCACATTTTTCTGTCGAATAGAAGTCCAACGTTGTGGAAATTGGTGGTAAGTTGTGATGTGCTAAGCAGAAAAAACTAGATGCTTAATCAAAAATCATTTTTTACATCAATACTGTACAAATGGCGAACATAGTATATAACGCAAGAGAAAAATATTCTACATCTATGGTAGATTAATGCATATTGCATACTGGAAGAAAAAATTTTGAAAACAAAAGTTTCATGTAGCTATTTTACGTCTCAAAATGAATCTATACCTTTTTCAGCATCCTGAACGGATATGTGAGGATAACATAATGGTATAATTTTGAGAAGAAAATGACCAAAATCCCGTCCTTGTACTGGACTGTACCATTTCTATAAAGAGAACAAACAAAAGTGATTGATAACACAAGTAGACTAAAAACCAGCTTACTTTGAGGTCTAATTCTAATAATTGTTTCAAGAGTGAAATACCACGTGTTGTCAAATATCTAATAAACTCTTGTTCGTTGTCTTTCAAACATATTTCTTGAACATTTTTGTAAAATGTTTGCAATATTTGTGCCATTATGATGGTGTGAATGACCAAAATGAATCAGCATCTTAAACAAAATAATTGAAAACATAAACATCTATATGACTAATACACGAAGTACAAAAAGGAAGCAAACATTGCGTCAGTGATAACTCGGTAAAAGATAATTATAACAAGAAGATAAGAATGAAAAGAAAGAAAAATATCAACTATACATTAACAGAAGGGACAGCATGATAAAATATATTTGTTGTACACTGTCCATTAATCGAAAAATGTGGACAAACAGCAAACTGCTGCATTTATACAGGTATATTCACATATGCCGAATGTTAACATCAACAGAAACGATGCTCATGAAAAAAAACATTCAGTTTAACTGAGGAACACGACAAAAGATTACATAAGACGCTACGACAAATCCAGACGGTGCGTCTAAAATGAAACAGCTGGACGCACAGAAACGCGTCTGATTGTAAACGCGTTTTAGGCGAGTTTCGATGCGTTTAGATGTTTCATTCTGGAAGCGTTTGAGACACATAAAATATTTACAGGCGAAGCAACAGTAGAGATGTATTGAAACTGTGAGATATGGAAGTATATAGAAGACAGCTTCATGGTATATCGATCATCATTATAGTGACTTCTTCTGCAAACTCCGACACTCAATCGCATTCGAGACAGGATAAACATTCTGAAACGACGCTTCGGTATTCGGAGATAGTTCAATATTTTCATTTTTTGTCAGAAAATTCCTCCTCACGACGTCAGCCAATTCTCACCATATCAATAAGAAAATGGGGTAAAAGTCGACATTAAGATAAAGTTCATTTAGAGTCGCGCAAAAGTATCTTATCGTATTCAGCACACTCGATAATCCAGAAGACTTTCTCCTTTTGGCAAGGGATCCTGCCAAAATTCTTACCTAAACTTTTGGCAGAACCTCTCGCCAAAAGGAGAAAACCTTCTGGGTTATCGTGGGTTATCGAGTGTGCTGAATACAAGAAGGCATTTTTTCGCGACTCTAATTAACTTTTGTTTTGTCTTCACGCTGATATGCCGGTGATACGAAAGTAAATCCCAAATGTGTACGTATATGGGAAGAAATGGGAGTCCCGAATAAGCGAGCAGTATACATGTCAGACTACTTCTGGTTTTTATGATTTTATTCAAGAAATCCTTGTTGCAATTATTTTTATTTTTATATGTGTTTTAAAAAATTTAACAAGTTTGTTTTTCTTAAAGCAAAACGTCAGATAAGTAATTTACGCAACAAACTGTATGAAACGACACATTTGGAATATAAAGTGTTCATGTTAAATTATCTCTCAAATATTATTGAAAAAATAACGCATACTGGAGCCGAGATTTACGATCAAAATTGAAAATGTTTTCTTTGGCGCGCACAATGTGGCGATGTTTTAAAGTTTTTTGAAACTATATTTTCTTATCAGTTCTGTACGGACTTTCTTTTGAGGTAAGTTTTTTAGTATGCAGAAAAGATAATGTGTAAGATGGTCGACGTCCGATCCTATCAATCCAAAACAAAAACTCGCTCAACAAAAAGCTATAGTAAAAATATATAGTCAAGCAAATAAACAACTGCACACAACACAAACAAACAACATCAATTCGACAAAAACAGAAACAAGAGTAAAGAATGGAAACAGAAGCAGTGCTGAATAGGTCAATATTTAGTAACTGATTTTTAGTTAAACAAAATAACGTTGTTAACGATCGTACACTCAGTGGTCATATTACTAATTATTTGTAGTTTACTCTATATCAGCGGCAATGCTAATGTCGCTGCAATCGCGACAAACGCTTTGTCTATATTTAAGATTACATTTCAATAATCATTAAAAAAAAGAAAGCTATTTTTTTTTACTGGGCTAACTAACTTTATTTTTTTTTGTCTGAAGAGATCTATACTTGTTTTCCTGATGGTAAATGCTAAATCCAATAGGAAGTTTAGTTTATGCTGAATCGGTTTACCTATCTTCTGCTATACATAAGAGTATATAATAGTACGCTTAGCTAAATGTAAAACACTATAGCTGCTGTAGACTCATTGACACTCGCGATCTGCACGTGAGTATATATCCTGATTATTGGTGTTCGGATTGATTTAGTTTTCTCTCTTTGTAAATGGCGCTTCAAAAGGTCGATGAAGCCTAATTGATGTTAAATGTTGAGGAACGAGTTTTTGGATCGATTGTAGAAAGCCTTTTTGATATATAGTGACATGATAATAGTCTCTTAGTTTGCTTGCCGGGGCTGTTCTGTTGGAACACCCACAGGGTGGGATGGCGACCCTGAGCTGCCGGTAGCCAGTTTGTCTTGTCTTAGGTTATCCCCCTATTGTCAGGACTTTAAACTTCAATGGCTACGGAAAAAGATCAGAAAAACCGTGTTATGACACGTAGAATCACTTTATCATAACCATATTTTTGTGATCTTCACCATACATCCTTTGGGTATTGGTATTATTAACTAACTAACTCGTTAGTTTCCAATACAAGTGGTTATTTTTCAAGTTTTTGTTACTTGTTGAGCTGTAGCCATAAATTCTCTCAATTTAAATATATAGAAAACGTCTACATGTATGCCCTCATCTTTGATTCACGACTAGAAGTACACGAGCGTAGTACTTTTATTTTTTAGTTAGAACTTTTGAGTAGTCTATGAAGCTTTTGTATGTGCTGTAAGCTGACGTTTTCTTTATTAAAATGTTTATAATATATGCATTGTGTTTTATTTTAGATGGCGTCTGTGTCAACAGTTGCCGATAATTCGTCATCAAATCATATTCAATCTTTGTCAAACGGTAAAATTCCACAAAATAGTAGTGTGCTTGTAGTAGGAGCTGGTGGCATTGGTTGTGAATTATTAAAATCGTTAGCTTTATGTCATTTTCATAAAATCAGTGTAATTGATTTGGATACCATTGAAGTATCAAATCTAAATCGTCAGTTTCTATTTCATAAAGAACATATTGGTCATTCAAAAGCACAAGTGGCATGTGAAAGTATCAAAAAAATGTGTCCAAACATTGAAATCGAACCATATCATGGTGATGTTATTACTGATGTTCGATTTGATTTAAATTTTTATAAAAAATTTGACCTTATCATAAATGCATTAGATAATATTCACGCAAGACAACATGTGAATCGAATGTGTTTACAATCTTCAAAACCGTTGATTGATAGTGGTTCAACCGGGTAAGAAATTGTATATTTAGGGGCGAACAGAGAGAATGTTCTTCCTATTATCAGCGAAACCTTCAGAAAGTGCACGCAAAGTGACATCATTACGCGAATTGTATGTTTTCCTTTGAACAGATACAATGGTCAAGCAACAATTATCTTGAAAGGTCGTAGTCAATGTTATGATTGTGTTGAAAAACCTAAACAACAACGAACCTATGCCGTTTGTACAATCCGAAATACTCCTTCTCAACCCATTCATTGTATTGTATGGGCAAAATATTTATATCAACAATTATTTGGCGATAATGACGATCCAAACCAAGAAGATGTAACACCTGATCAAGATGATCCAGAAAATCATGTCGAACAAGCAACAACAAATGGAAATGATAATCAACAAATACGGGTAAACATATAGCTTGTTTCGAACTTGGATCCTTTAAATTATTATTTTGTTTTTTACCTAAAATCTTCATTGTTTGATTTTCTATTTAGTATTCTGAATCAGTTCAATCTCAGCGTTTGTCTACTCGTGATTGGATTCGTACAAATAAATTTGATCCGCAAAAAATTTTTAATAAATTATACAATGATGATATTAAATGTTTGACATCAATGAAAAATTTATGGGAAAAACGTCGTCAACCAATACCATTGAATTATGATAAAGCAATACAATTGAATGAAAATGACTACGATAAACAAGCAGCAGCAACAACAACAACAACTATATCAAATACTTCAACAGTGCCAAAACTAAACGATCAAAAAATATGCACAATTAGCGATTATGTACAAATGTTTTGTGATAGTATTCAAGAATTAAGAAAACGTTTTGATGTACAACAACAACTAGGTAAGTGAGATTAGAAGAGAACATCGATCAGTCCTATTCGATAACACTTACCCGTCAAGTAGATTTGAGAAAAATTCTTCTAAGTAAGAAAAAAATTTTGCCACTAGATTAACGTACACAAGAAAGAATTTCGACCTAATTGTAGATGAGTTCAATCTAGGTGACTCATATTTACATTTGAAGTTATCCAACATTTAGTATTGTAACAGAGGAGGGTATGAAGAAGTTGGATAAAAATTACTAGGGCTAAATTGCTTATATTTAATATAAAACGTTTCGGCTTTTATCAATGGCAAAATAATAAGAAATGTACTTAACAATAATACAAATTAGTAAACATCTATCAGAAATGTGAAAAGAAATACATCTAAAGCCAAAGAAATTAAAATTACATAT